ATAAAATATGTAGCAGCCCCAGGGCATAAAGCTTATTAACTTATTCTGAGAACTAAAAAATATTATGAGCATATATTTTACTTTTACTTATTATATACCATATGTCATTCACCTCTTCCTTTTGGCTTCTCACTGCCAAAGTTCCAAATGGCATGCATTTAACAAGACAATACTGAGGAGAGCAGCATTTCTGATCATCTGAATTGGCAGCTCAAAACAGATACCACTCCTTTTACAAAGCAAACAAAGGGTGATGGGTATGAAATTTGGGCAGTGGGCTAACAAGAAACCGTGCACAGGCAATCTGGGCTACCATGCCCCAAGTGTGCGCTACCCAAAACAATAGTAAAATGACCTATGTCAACAAAGCTACCACCAACATTGACTAAAACCACATTAAAAATACACAGGATAATGGTTTGAAAGAGTGCATTTGGAAGCAGAGAGAACCCAATTACACACCTTCTGCAACAGAGTGCCCCCCCATCATACACAAAATAAACTTAAGCTGTTTACAACGTTTCCCAATTTTTTTTTTATTTTTTCCCCTCTACATTTAACTATTAAAAAAGTTTTTATTAATAAATGGGCTCCTCTGTGGTTCATATACAATCATAAGTGAACTTTAAATTCCATTTTATACAAACATCTCAAAAAATATTGGGAGTGAAGTATGGTAGGAAATATTGCTCACATTGCTAATAAACAAGCGTATATGAAAGGAGGAAAATGTTTTGTTAGTGCATATACCTCCAGAGCAGAAAACCCACCCAAAATGAAAGAATTAAAAATAAGAACATACAGTAGCTGATTACAAAAAAAGGTAATGTCCACAAAATTAAGTTTTTCATGCTATTCTACTTTCCAGTACTATGCTTCAGAAAATCAATTCGATGGCTAGATGTTGAATGCTTGAGGTATATAAGAAGGGATACCTGCACACTGAGGAAAATCTGTCATCTTAGGGTTGTTTCTTTTGCTTATTTTGTTACTATAACATTTTAAAAAGAATATTTTATTTACATCAAACTTTATCAACTACAATGGCATTCCAATTATAATAGATGACAAATAACGCCTCTACCACTAGGCACTTTTAAAAAGGGAGTTCACTTAGGCTCTAAACTTCTTTATCATTCTGATGTAATCCCATATAAGGTATTACATCATCCCACAACCCTAGTCCCACTAAAATTATCCTTTGGGGAAATATTATATAGCCTGATTAATTTACTATGGAAGAAATTAGTTATAAAATGACCAAAGGTAATGCATCATTTAAGTCTAATAAAACAGCTTAAGATGTCAGGTTTGAAAAAGGAGACAAATTGTAACTACTTAAAACTAATTAAATAATTTAAGTTTGACCTGTACTTTATATATTAGTGAGACAAATATAGGCTATTTTCTTTTAAAATTTCATTCACATAATGAAAAACTTCTTGTTTATTAAAAATATCACATTTTGAGACTAGAAACATTAAAGTGCATGAAAAGTTTAAAATATAAATTTCAGAAACTCTTATAGCAGCAAAAAAGCAGAATAAAGAAAAACTTAAAAACACAGACACAACCTTTTCCTGTTACTGTGCCGTAACTAACATCAAGCAGCCAACCAATTTTTCCCCCAGAAAATGATATTCATTCACTGCCTCTTGAAGTCACAGATTTTCAAATGGCCCCTTCTGGGCAAAAACAAAACAAAAGAAAAAAGGATTCCAATACATCTACAGCATCAACAGTGGGAACAAACCAGTAGCTTCGTAATTCACCCCTGACAGACAATGGAAACAATATTAAAAGCATATGATGGCCATTTGGCAGGTAGAGTCAGGAAAAATTATCCAAGGCTTTTAACTACTCCCTGTTCTTTCTCCCCAGGCCTTTTCACTGTCACCTTAAAAAACCAAAACCAACAATCACTTAGCCTATTTGGGAAACACATAAAATATTGTATGGCTTTCCCCTTCTAAAACTTTGATCAGGGTCTTCTTATTCAGAGTATTTATTTAATATTTCACTATAACAGCAGAAATGATACAGATCATATATAATATCTCTTTTTCCAGAACTAGACAAAAAAGAAAGGTGACTAGGAATCAATAAAAAAAACACTGGACACTAATTTTTTGATCATCTTAAGCATACCAAATTCTATTTCCAAGATATGTGGCAGTATAAATTATCTGCTATTTCCCCCAAAATAAACTGGCTTAGAACTAATACTTCTAATAAAGTCACAACCAAAGGGGAACCAAAAAACCTCACAAAACCCCTTAAAAAAGTGTTTTTGCCCAACAAACTGTCATGTGCTGTTAAATGCTTGATTTTGAAAACATATTACTTAACCATCTTTGATTTCTCACTGTTTCTTATTATGGTTAGAGGCTATATCATGTTTATATATAGCTCAAACAAATTTAAGTGCTTTGTTAATGTGCAAATAAGTTGGGGAAAACAGAAACTCAAGAGCGATTTCTTTGAAAGGCATGACATCATTCAGTTTAGAACTGTATTTATAGTTTCAAAACATTGCCTTTTACAAAAATGGTTGGCTCATGTGAACCCATTCAAAAGAAAGTATTTGTTTGGGAAAAACAAATACACTATTGTTGGGCCTCTAAATGGTTTTGTGTGTGTTTTTTTTTTTAATTAATTATGAATATGGACTCATAATATGAAAAAGGTCCAATTTAAAAACATGTTAAACATTTGGAAAAAGAGCAATACTTTGGTTCCAACCCTAGTGCCAAATGATACCAATATGCACAAAAATGTACAAAATCTTATAGCAAAACATATAATGAAAGGAACCTGAAGAAGCAGCGTAAGGATGGCCATACTTCACTCCTACATACTCTGATTTACAACTGTACAGGTCCATAGCAACAGATCCCCGTCTCTGCGGGGCAGGACTCCACTACCTCCGATTAGGCAAATGAACACCATTGACAAGAGGCAGGAGTGGAGGGTGGAGTTCAAGTTGTGTTAACAGTGAGAAGTGGTCTGAAGGGATGTGCGGGTGTGGACACCCAGTGATGTTGTTCTCAACCAGCCATTGAGGATCTAAAGGCCCCAGGACACCAAGCACGTTCATATGAGTCTTGGAATAGAAAATGTAGTCAATCACACCCTGGAAAAGAGATTGGGGGTTTGGAAAGAAAGAAAACATGTATGCTTAGAATAAAGAAAAATTCAAAATACTTTAACAAAATTTAATAACTTAAAAAAATTCAAATAAATGAGTACTCTGTGCTTCTAATACCTGTTATCTTAACACTGGATCAAATATGACTAAAGTCTTCAATGGTTATTACATGATATAAAAGGCGCTGTATAGGAAAACATGGAGTCCTGGTGTGGTACTGTAGGATCAGCACTGGACTGCTAACCACAAGGTTAGTGGTTCAAATCTACCAGCTGCTCCTTGTAAACCCTACAGAGTCGCTATGAATCAGAACTGACTTGCTGGCACATAACAACAACAATAGGGAAAGATAGCACTGAAAGCATTGCATTTTTGTGTGATACACAAAGAAGCTAAAAATACCAAAATGTGTCTAAACATCTTTAGAATTGACCTACTTGTTTTAGTGAACTCTATCAATGTAACTTAATGAAAAATTTACTAACTCAGTTACCATACACAAAAATAAGGATACTTATATAAACATTTACAAAGTTAATGAAAAAGTGTATTACATACTTCTTTATCTAATAACACATCTGATTGAAGTCACAGTAAAGCACATCTTCAGATTTGCTAATCTTAGGTTCAACTTGCCCAGATTTTATTGTTATAAGTGCCATAGAGTCAGTTCCGACTCATAGGGACCTTACATAGGGTTTCCGAGGAGTGGCTGGTAGATTCAAACCACCAGACTTATAGTTTAAACTGACATTGTGGTCCAATGCTTCTTCTATAGCACCACAGCAGGACTTAATATGCATATAAAGCACTATATATACAAAAGTATTCTAATGTCTGCTCTTCAGAGTTTAGAATATTCATTTTCACATATCCTGGTGTACTACAAATTCTGGATTTTTGTGCTGCATAGGGTACCGTAACAAAAAATAAATAAATAAATAAATCATACACCCTTATACATCAGAAGTATTTCTCAGGGATAGAAGATTTGATGTGTGTAACCAGCAACTCCTCAAACCAGTGTGCTTTTATGTGTATTGTCTCAGACCGTGTATGCATGAAAGAAAAGAAAAATTCCTTCTTATGTAGTTCCTACCCAAATCAAGAGAGTTGAGCCCCAGTATGGAGTAATATGTCCACACCTGTCTGTTGTTAAGTGCCATCAAGTCAGTTCTACCCAATACTTCCATGTTCAAGAAATGAAAGTCAAAAGCTCGTGCCCTTTCATTTAAGCTAGTGGCTACTTTTGTTGTAACACTTTAAGAAGAGTTAATAGGGGTCAGATGGTTTTACTCACTCTTAAGAGACTATGCTTTGCTTCAACACAACACAAATTAAATATTCTCAGCTAATTATATTGAATAAAACCTACTACATCTTTTCACTTTATTAGAATGGTATCATGCAAATCAGCTACTGGGGTTATAAAATGTTTTGTTAACACAGGTCCCAAGAAAAATGCTAAACACTCCAAAACCAAAATATACTTAATGGCACTACTTGCAACTACAGTAAGACCTTCTGTCAAATCCTGTATTAGCAAGGTTACATCTGTGAACTTTTCAAATATTTGCATATATACATAGGTGGGGAGGGTCTCTAATTTTGATCATGTTCACTAAAGAGGCTGTGGACTAGTGATTCTTAACCATTTTGATTCAAACTATCTCATTTTTAACAATACGGAAATAGAAAATCTTTTTAGTACTAAAAACCATATTATAGGTCTATAGAACTATATTTGAGAAAAAAGTAAATACAGTGAAAATAGTTTGCTTAGCTAGTCTTAAGCTAATATAATGTGAGAAATTTATTGAATACAACTCTAATAATGTAACAGAGAAAGGATAAATTCTTGATATATGAGAAAACTCTCCTTCCTCTTTTGTTAAATGATTCAGGCACACCCTTACATGTGGAGAAAAGCAACAGAGTTTGAATTAATCTGTTTATTCGCTTACCTGGTCTGCAAGTAACAGAAGGGAAAGGAGAATTCTCCCAACTCCTTACCCTTTAGTTCACTCTAAATCAGTTCTAGATTACATGAATTTGAGTTCCAAATACCAATTTTGTACATTTCTATCTTATTCTATGACCAAGAAAGTAGCAAACAACTGCTAAGCCAAGTAAGCACAAATAAAAAAGATCCCACTAACATAATGTCAGATTATGCTTGAAGCTGTGTTTAATGGTGCATCATGACATTTATATCTGATCAGATGAGTTGTGGGATGACATCAAGGAACATATGATAAAAGCAAAAAAAGTCATTAAAAAGACTGGAAAGAAAGAAAAGTCAAAATGGTTGTCAGAAGAGACTCTGAAACTTGCTCTTGAACACACAGTAGCTGCAGTACAAGAAAGACATGATGACATAAAAGATTTCAAAGGACAGCTCAAGAAGACAAAGTGAAGTCCTATAAAAACATGTGAAAAGACCTATAATTAGAAAGCCAAAAGAGAAGAACATGCTTGGCATTTCTCAAGCTGAAAGAACTGAAGAAAAAAAAATCAAGCCCTGACTTGCAATACAAAAAGATTCTATGAGCAAAATATTGAACAATGCAGGAAGTATCAAAAGATGATGAAAGGAATCCAATGATTAGCCACTGAACCAAAAAGAATTAGTTGACATTCAACTATTTCAGGAGGTAACATATGATCAAGAACCGATGACACTGAAGGAATAAGTCCAAGTTGCACTGAAGGCACTGGTGAAGAGAAAAAAAAAAACCCCAAGGTTCTAAGAATTAGCAGAATACCAACTGACATGTTTCAATAAATGGATGCAACAATGGAAGCCCTCACACATCTACGCTAAGAAATTTGGAAGACAACAACCTGAACAACCAACTGGAAGAGATCCCTACTCATGCCCATTGCAAAAATAGGTGATCCACCAGAATTATTGAACAGTATCATTAGCATCACATGTAAGTAAAATTATGTTGAATATAACTCAAAAAAATTATAATACTTGGATAGTGAACTGTCAGAAATTCAAGCCAGATTCAGAAAAAAGACATGGAACAAGCGATATTACTAATATATCGGATGAATTGGAGCTGAAAGCAGATAATACCAGAAAGAGGCATGACCTATGCAAAGGCTTTTGACTGTGTGGATTGTAACAACTAATGGATAAAATTGAGAAGAATGGAAATATAGAACACTTAATATGGACATGAATATGGATCTCTTCCAGTTGACTGTCTAGTTTACTGTCTTGCAAATTTCTTGGCATAGATGAGTGAGGGCTTCCAATATTGCAACCATTTATTGAATCATGTCAATTGGTATTGTGTCAATTCTTGGAGCCTTGTGGTTTTTTTTTTAATCAGTGCAATCAGTGCAGTTTGGAATTCTTCCTTCAGTGTCATCAGTTCTTGATCATATACCACACCTCCTCATGCAGAACTTGCACATTGAGCAATGATAGTTCTTGGACAGAATGAGATCGTGCATGGTTTAAAATCAGAAAAGCTTAGAAAACATCTAAGTGAACTAGCCACACCATGCTTTGTAAAAGCAACGTTCTGTATTCTGCTTTGGTGAGCAGCATCTGGTGTCTTAAAAACCTGCAAACAGCTAACTAAGATACAACTATTGGTCTCTTCCCATGTGTAGCAAAGAAGATTGAAGCAAACCAAAGATTCAAGGCAACAATTTGTCCAAAGGACTAATGAACAACATGAACCACAGCATATATAAACCTAAAACTAGAACTAGACAGTGTCCTGCTGTGACTACACAACAGCTCTGACTGAGATCACAACACACTATCCCAGACATGTTGTTGTTGTTAAGTGCCGTCGAGAAGATTCTGACCCATAGCGATCCTGTATAGGGTTTCCAAGGAGCAGCTGGTGATCTTGAATCATAGACCCTGCAGTTCAAACAACTTTGCAGTCTGACACATTAGCCTACAGCAGCACACCAGGACTCCAAACATAGTGGAAGTAAAATGTAGAATAAAAAAAACATATTTAGGAGGAACAAACAAGATGGCGGATGGGGTGGATTTATAGCAGAGAGCTCCGCCAACAACAACACAGAATACCCGACCAAGCAGGTTCAGGAGATGGTCCCAGAACTCTGAACCACATATAAAGGAATACTTAGGAGGTTGGAAGGCTCACAGCTGGGGGAATTTGTGGCACAAGCAAGAAATCTATTGCTTTCTAGTCCAGGACGCTCGGCTGCTCCAGGAGCTGCCATCTTGGGTGAGAACACATGGGGAAAGGATCGGGGCGGTCCCAGATGCCTGGCAGAACCGCTGAGATAAAGGTGTGGACATTCTTTTCTTTTGGAATCTGTTCATTGGTCCCTTGCTGTCTGAGCACCTCCATTCTGGTGACTATAGGGGTGCCTGAACTAGTGGGCACCCCAGCCCCACGCTAGGAGGGTTCTACTACGCATGCACACAAATCTCCTCAAAATTTAAAGAGACAGTTTCCAATTAAAACCAAATGGCCACAGCCGACTCTGAACTGTTTCAACTAGAAAAAAAGGACTGAATGGAGATTGTAGAGCGGGACAAGCAGACAAAAGAGGAAATAGGCCAAAAATTAAATCCTAAGTTACATCAAAACGACCAACAGTGGTATCTTGAAACTTCTAAGGAAGAAGAATGAAAAGGGAAGC